CGCTGGTTCTCTTTTTAGCGGGCTAAATCTCCATGGTAACTTATGCTGAGCGGCTAACCTCCCCGGGAGGAGGTTAGGTTGCAGGCTAAGAGATTAACTCAGTGAAAGCACCGCCTGCTGACCAATCAGAGCTCCGTGTGCAGAGTTTAAAGCGATCAAGTCATATTACAGGATAGAGAACAGATACAGAAAAACTGCCGTTGCAGGAAAGACGGCCGGCAAAAATCAACTGACTGTGTGAAATGTGGAACCCTAATCCATCATCATGTGAAATTTAGAGTTCATTTAAATAATTACTTATGGGTTGAAGTCAAATTTAACATTAGAACTAAAGTCAGTCAAAATTGGACGTGCACGGATCAGAATCTAATCAATACACCATTTCCCCAGCTCTGTAATGAAAAGGATATCAAGATTAGGTACATTACAGGAGTGATAAAACATCCAAACATGCACACTTATCTTATTCTAGTAGAGATTAGAGGACAGGTCTAATGTTTGTGAACATTATTATTAACATTATACATTAACAAGTTATTTTATTTATTTTATCTTATGTACCACATTTAATTTAATAATTAATCTTAAATAACTAATAACTTTAAAGAAGGCAACAATTTACAATGTGGATAAGGTGACTACTTATCCAAAGTGTGTGGGTGTGTGAACAGCTTGTCATGTTAAAACATTTGGGACAGCAGTGAGAATGTTATGAGAAACAATTTGTTGCTTAGACTGAACTCGAAAGAAGCTGAGATTAGAACATTTTAAATAAATCAAAACACTTGCACATTAATTAAATACATTTGACATTTAGCTTGAGCTGGGTTCAATACTTTCTTTATGGTATTTAAATTGGGCTCAAGTAGAACCTTTACATGGATTTAGCTTGCAACACAAAGTGATACCGATCTCTGTCTGTTATGATTTGAAAGTCTCATGATTTAAAGTGTAGGCCTGTGAAGGAGAGGCCCTTGGAAAACATCTACTTTTTTTAACTGTAATTACTTATTGTAAAGAGATTGCAACATTATACTTTTTAAAGAATTGCTCAATTCATTTAACACATTTATTATGCACACTGTAATGAAAACGTCAACAAATATATTGATCCTGGCTTAACCAGCGACCTTTACTCTTTTGTCCATAAACTCGGTTTCAGAAAACTTGTCAGTAGTTTAACAACTATTATAATTGTAGTAATGTCTATGGAGACCCATTGGTTGATACGAGAAATCATTTGAAGCAGTTTAATAAAGAATGTTAAACTATATTTAAAACTGTAATTAAACTTCAACTTATATTAATTATCTGAATCCAGTGGCCAGTTGGAATAGATAATCAACAAAGTTTCCATTTTGCAGCAACAGCGCAAAATGTTTCAACAATAATTTGTATTATGTCTGAGTCAAGTTCTGTCTTATCAGCTTTGTTTCGGAATGTGTTCAATACATTACGTTTTTTTTTCATTATTACCATACAATACATAGATTTAAGAATAAATGAAACAAATAATACAACATTGACCTAAAACAGCAGACAGATTTTGCCACCCTGACCTCCTCAGGCAGGTCTTTATGACCAGCAGTGATGCCTCTGAGGGTCTCAGGGTGCAGGACGGGGCATAGGGTTTATAAAAGGTCACAAACATATCTTAACATACCAGCAATACCATTTAAGAATGTATTCTTAAAGTAATATAATCTTCTCTTCTTCTTACACCTACAGCGCACACCCTGAACAGTGTGCTCCTTGTTTACATGTTCCTCTGCACACTCAGATGCAGGACATACAAACACTCTTTTGCTATTTATTTTCATTTTGCAGCACATCTATACTACCAGAATTTTGCAAAACACTATATATTATTTATTTTTCTCAAGTCATTTACTTTTGGTGAGTTAACTAAAGCTTAGTTTATTTTACCCTGGCTATGGACTGATTCATTATTAGTTGTTACAAAACATACACAAGACGGCGGTTAGTACAAGAAAAACCACACTGCAATTAGACGAACAAACATGAACTCATAATAAACACCAGCGTGACAGCAAAGTTCATCCAGCTCAATTTAGTCCGGATTAAAGAGGTTTCAGAGGGTGTATACAAGTCCTAGATCGGTGCCTGAAGACCGTCCAAGAGCAATAACTAGCTTATCCTCTTGCGACCCCACTATCCCTGTTCTAGTGGTGCTATGCCCCCCCGATCAGGAGCACATAGACTTTTTTCTCCTCTACCCTTTCTATCCGAAACTACACAGTTAACTGTAGTCCTACTCGACCAGCCTATACACACGCCATCATGTTCATCACAACGATGAAACACAGTTTTGTTCTACACTTGCATGCCACTGCCCACCCGTGATCAATTAGCCTATCATTTTATGTATGCACCCCGGACCGGCACCAGCTCCTCCAGCAATGTAGGGAGCTGTGGCGCATCAGGTAATGCACGCACCTCGCACTTGTCAGCACGTCGTAAACGGCCACAAGCCACGAGAGTGCTTTTAAACCGTCTCGTTTTTACTAGAGACGGCGGTGGTGTGAGTTAAAGCTATAGACAAAAGCTGTGACTTTCTCCCTCTGAGTTCACTTCACCAGCTCATGCAGATACGGGGAGGTATTTTACACACATCCCCCGGAGCCGCAGCTGGAGCCGTGTTTTTTTTAGAGGCGCTGGGGGTAATATCTCTGGCTGCTTGTGTTAACTGCTAGTGTTGGCCGCTGAAACCCCCGGAATCTCGGCGATTTTTTCACTACAAATCTCTATTTTGATTTCACACAGAAGTTCCACTTTACTGCTGCCCTCATTAAGGTCTTTTTAAACATCTCCGTGTATGCCTGCACGGCACATACGTCCCAAGCAGCACACACAGAGTTTATTCAGAGTATTCGGCCGGAGGATTCACATCACAAATCAAAGAGTCAGAGGTTCTGACCACACGGTAGAGTTGCCACGTCAATTCTGAAGAGCCTCTCTCTATGCTAGACCTTTTAACTGGTTCACAGAGAATCAACATCTCTGAAGGAGTAGACTAAACAGCTGGGAACACTGAGCCACCTGCGTCCGACACTCGTGGCCTCAAAGATTTCACATCTTAGAGTCCACAAACACCGATAAGGAAGTGCCTCAGCGTTCTCACAACAATTACCATTCGTGCCAGACAAGTTGACCGGTCACAAACTGGTGACAACAACACATATGGCACCAATGCCTTTCCTTAAAGGAGATAACAGATGGCAGAGTAGATCATAAAACGTCACAGAGCAAAAGGTTAGATATCTAGAAGAATTATTCCTTAACATTAAGTACAGTCCGCGGCACTGTGAGTGCAGACGTCGATGTGTCCCATTATCATTCATATCATATCACATCATAATGTATCATATATTTCCTTATCTGAGTCAGCTTCTTGAGCCGTATCTGGCCGTGCAACACACAGTGTCACATACTGTATGCAGAAGTATTATTTTAAGCAACACATTAAGTTGACAAAACACTCGAGTCAAATGTAATTAAAGTCAGATCCACTCGTGTCTTGGACGGGGCAGTGATATTATAAACCTGTTAATGTACGCATTCCAACGCTTTTTCTGTTACCAGCTGTATTCACCTTGCAGGTGCAGCTATGTGGCTTTTATCCTGGATAAAGTGTTTAAGTCATGGATGTTTAAAGTTTAACTTCTTCATATTTGACTAATATTAAAGTTCAATTTTCATTCAGGAAGTATGACGCTGCGCTGTCAGTACGCTTGTCCATGTTTGAGATTGGTCGAATGGTCCAAATACCACCCCTTTCATGTGAACGCGCACCTAACTAGATAGGACACGGCTGGCTTGAGCGATCCACTTGATAACCAGCGTCGTAGTACAGTTTAGCGAGAGCGCGTATGTTTTGGATTGGGCCAACCGGCTAACTCAAACATATCCAGGTTAGGAAAATCCGGCTTCGTAGTACAGGCCTCAGGTCTAATGCAGATCTGAGTCTCCTTGACATCATCAACTCTGCAGGCGACACGCCTGTGGTCGCGTGAGGTGTGATGCGGTAACTGAACAGAAACCTTGACAGTCTAGTTTGCAATGTTTCACCTTTCATCTTTTTCATCCCCCCTTTGAAGGTTTGGACCGCCCTCTCTGCCAGCCCATTAGAAGACGGGTGAAATGGTGCTGACCTCACATGGCGGATGCCATTTTGTTTCATGAAAGTCTCAAATTCAGCACTTGTGAAACAGGTTCCGTTGTCTGACACCAACATTTTTGGCAGTCCAAAAACACTGAAACTCTGACGCAGCTTTTCAATGGTCACCTGTGATGTAGCTGACTTCACTGGATAAATATCCATCCATTTTGAGTGAGCATCCACTATCAGTAGAAACATCTCTCCCAGGAAAGGGCCTGCATAGTCCACATGAATTCTCGTCCAGGGAGACTCCGGCCACTCCCAGGGATGTAATGGTGCTGATGGTGGTGACTTGTGGTGCTTTTGGCACTCCTCACAAGACTGCACTTCCTTTTCTACATCCTGGTCCATCCCCGGCCACCATACATAAGATCTAGCCAGACCTTTCATCTTTGACATGCCGGAATGTGTTTGGTGCAGTACTTTCAATATCTTTTCCCTGCCTTTGTTTGGTACGATGACTCTGGCCCCCCAGAGCACGCAGCCATCCCTCACACTCAGTTCTTCTCTCCTCTGATGATACAGCTTGAGAGGAGCCTCAGTCACTGAAGGTCATCCCGACAGGACATAACCATGAACTTGAGACAATATTACATCCTTATCTGTCCAGTGTTTTATTTTGGCTGTGTCCACGAGTGTGTCATCCAGAAGATCAATCATGAGCACTTGTTCTGCGGTCTCACTCTCTCGCACATCTTCCGACAGCGGCAGTCTGCTTAATGCGTCCGCATTAGCGTTGTTCTTTCCTGGTTTGTACACAATGTGATACTCATAGGCACTCAGGTGCACTGCCCATCTCTGAACTCTAGGGGAACCCATCTGTGGAATGGGTTTATTTTCGTTGAAGAGAGAGATCAGTGGCTTGTGATCTGTATAGATGGTGAAAGTTCGACCATACAAGTACTTGTGGAATTTCTTGATTGCAAATATAATATAACTGCTAAGCCTTCTTTGTCTAGCTGTGAGTAATTCTTTTCAGCAGGCGCTAGGGTACGCGACATGAACCCCAAAGGACGTTCAGTTCCATCGTCCATTACGTGTGATAAAACAGCCCCCACCCCGTAAGGTGACGCATCACATGACATAATTAACTCTCGGTCAGCAGAGTAATGCACCAACACTTCTGCTGAGTTTAACAGGGCCTTTGATTTTTTAAAAGCCTCTTCCTGTTTCTTTTGCCATCACACATCTTGTCGCAGGAGCTCACGCAGTGGTGCCAATAGTGTAGCTAAGTTTGGCAGAAATGTGTTATAGTAATTTAGCAAACCTAAGTACGACTTGAGTTCAGTAACATTTGTGGGGTTGGGAGCCTCCATGATGGCTTTGACTTTCTTTTCCACAGGGTGAAGTCCCTGTGCGTCCACTCGATGTCCCAGATATTCCACTTCCTCTTCCAGGAAAGTGCACTTGCTCCTTCTCAGACGCAATCCTGCCTCCTCCAGCTTTGCCAACACTGTCTCGAGGTTCTGCAGATGGTCTTCCTCATCCACACCGCTCACCAGGATGTCATCTAAATACACTGCCACAAAAGGAATGCCTCGCAGGAGACCTTCCATTGTCCTCTGAAATATAGCTGGGGCTGATGCTACTCCAAAAGGCAGTCTGTTGTATGTGAATAAGCCTCTGTGCGTATTCACTGTTAAGTATTTCTTTGATTCATCATCCATGAGTATTTGCTGGTATGCATGACTCATGTCCAACTTTGTGAACTGTTTTCCTCCTGTCAGTGCTGCAAACAGGTCTTCCATTCGGGGTATGGGGTATTGTTCAAGTGAGGAAACTGTATTTACAGTGAGCTTGTAGTCTCCACATAGCCTTACTGTCCCAACAGGCTTCAGTATTGGAACCAATGGTGCTGCCCATTCTGCATGTTTAACAGGTGAGATTACTCCTTCTTTCAACAATCTGTCTATTTCTTCATCTACTTTGGTGCGCATGGCGTACGGGACAGACCTCGGACGGAAGAAAGGAGGGACTGCATCAGCCTTTACATGGATGGTAGCTTTCATACCTTTCAGTGTGCCAAGCTCCTCTTTGAAGACATTTTCATGTTTGCTCAGTACTTGCTGCAGCGATTTGTCCTCTGTCTTCAGGTGTTTCAGGACTCTGGATTTCAAGGTTCTTTATTGTCAATCTGACATAGTTACAGAGTAATTATGTAGTTGAAAATCTTATGTCAGAGGCTTCTCCAACAATGCAACATAATAACAATAAGAGCATGAGCAATACAAAAATAATAATAGTTATAAAATGAAATAAAGTTATGATGTGGAATAGTGCAGTATGAGTCTATATACAAGTTATTGGAATGATTTATATATATTAGATATTAGATACATACTACTGAGTAGCAGATGAATGTTTGATGTTGTTTCAACAGTTCAATTTTTTAACAGTCTCACTGCCCGCGGGAAGAAACTGTCTCCGAATCTTCTTGTCCTTGCCAGGATGCTGCGGTACCGTCTGCCAGACGGCAACAGAAAGAACAGTTTGTGGCTGGGGTGATGGGGGTCTTTGATAATCCGTAGTGATTTCTTCCTGAGCCGCTGGGAGTAAAGGTCCTCCATGGATGGCAGCTCCGTCCTGGTGATGTGCTGTGCAGTTTTCACCACCCTCTGTAAAGCCTTACGATCGAGGTCGGTGCAGCTGCCGTACCAGGCCGTCATGCTGCCAGTGAGGATACTCTCTATCGTGCACCTGTAGAAGTTGCAGAGTATCCTGGAGTCCATTTTGAACCTCCTCAACCTGCGGAGGAAGAAGAGCCGCTGTCGAGCTTTCTTGGTGATGGTGGTGGTGTGAAGAGACCATGTCAGGTCCTCAGTGATGTGGACCCCAAGGAACCTGAAGCTTTTGACTCTCTCCACCGTAGTCCCATTGATGGCGATGGGGGCGTGTCCCTCTCCCTGCTGCTTCCTGTAATCCACAATCAGCTCCTTTGTTTTGCTGATGTTGAGATGGAGGTTGTTATCCTGGCACCAAGATGTCAGGTTTTCGACCTCCTCTCTGTACGCCGTCTCGTCATCGTCTGTGATCTGGCCGATGACGGTCGTGTCATGAGCAAACTTCACGATGGTGTTGGAGCTGTGTGTGGCCACGCAGTCGTGGGTGAACAGGGAGTAGAGGAGAGGGCTGAGCACGCAGCCTTGAGGGGCACCGGTGTTAAGAATCAGGGTGGAGGATGTGATGTTTCCCACCCGCACTGCCTGGGGTCTGCCCGTCAGGAAGTTCAGGATCCAGTCACAGAGGGCGCTGTTGAGCCCGAGGTCTCTGAGCTTGATGGCCAGCTTGGAGGGCACAATGGTATTGAATGCTGAACTGTAGTCAATGAACAGCATTCTCACATATGTGTTCCTGTTCTTCGGGTCCAGGTGTGAGAGGGCAGTGTGGAGGGTAAGGGCTATGGCGTCGTCAGTGGACCTGTTTGCTCTGTAGGCAAACTGCAGGGGGTCCAGAGAGTCAGGGAGGGAGGAGGTGATGAATGATTTGACTAACCGCTCAAAGCACTTCATTATGGTGGAGGTGAGTGCTACTGGGCGGTAGTCGTTGGGGCAGGTGATGATTGTCTTTTTGGGGACAGGAATGATGGTGGAGTGTTTAAGACATGTGGGGACTACAGACTGCAGCAGGGACCTGTTGAAGATGTCTGTGAACACCTCTGCCAGCTGAACTGCACACACCCTGAGAACACGGCCAGGGATGCCATCAGGTCCAGGAGCCTTGTGTGGGTTAACCCTTTTAAAGGATTTACACACATCTGCCCTATTTAAAACAAAAGGGCAGGGTAGCTCCTGGTCCCTCTGTACCTCCACAGCCCGGCTGCTCTCAAAGCGTGCAAAAAAACTGTTCAGCTCATCTGGGAGAGATGCGCATGCAGACACTCCCGCAGCACCCCCCGCTGCTCCTTTGTAGTCAGTCATTGTCCTTAGTCCCGCCCACATATTCCTAGTGTTACAGCCTTTGAAGTCAGATTCCACCTTTTCTTTGTACTGTCTCTTAGCATTTTTAATTGCTCTCCGGAGATCATACCTAGACTTCCTGTACTCCTCCAAATCTCCCGCTGTGTGCGCGATAGTGCGCGCTCTCAGCTTGCAGCGCACATCGGAGTTTACCCATTGCTTTTGATTTGGGAATGTCCGTACAGAAACCTTCGGTACCACGTCATCGATGCATTTCCCAATGTAGCAGATGACAGTGTCCGTGTGTATGTTGATGTTATTGTCCTCAAACACACTCCAATCCGTGGATGCAAAGCAATCCTGCAGTGCCTCATCTGACTCCTCGCTCCATCGTTGTACTGTTCTTGTAATCGGTCTTGTAATCGGTCTTGTTCTTGTAATCGGTCTGATTTGTGTCTGAGCTTGATTTTTTTCCAACTCAGATGTATTTCCTCCAGCCAGCCTCTTCCCAGCAGGCTGGGGCCGTCCCCTTTAACCACAATGAGGGGCAAGTACCGCCTTTGATGTTTGTATTTCACTTTAACAAGGGCAGCTCCGACCACATTAACAGGGTCACCTGTATAAGACTCAATGTGGATTTTGGTTGGTCTCAAACATGGACTTTTTGTGTCTTTCCATAGTCTTTGAAATGTCTGTTCATTCATTATTGTGAGACTACAGCCAGTGTCTATCTCAAAGTTAACAAACGTACTATCCAGCTTCACTTCAACCATGTATGGGTCTACTCGTCTCAGGTGCACTTCACTCATGCGTCCCAATCTGAACCTCATCTTATTCAGTAAGAATGTATCTTCTTCTGAGCTATCACTTTGGCTCCGTTGCTCTTGTACTTTATGAGAACGGTGATATGTGGTTTGCCTCCTTTCTCTCTTTGGGTCTGCATTTTTGTTGCTGTTTCCATTCTGTGTAGATCTACTACGACAAGCTCTGGCAATGTGTCCTATTTTACCACATGCATGACATGTCTCTTGTTTAAACTTACAGTCTGCTGCTTCATGCTGGGTTCCCTTGCATCTGTAACACTCTTTGGTAGGTTCTCTGTGTGCATAAGCCTCCTGTGGCTTTTTATCCATTGTGAAGCATTTAGCTGTGGCCCCTTGGCTTTGTATCTCCTGTGCATTTTTATTTGCAGTCTCTGACGCCACAGCAATTGATAATGCTGTTTCAAATGTTAAATCCGCTTCTGATAAGAGTCGTCTCTGAATCCGATCTTCATTTATTCCACAGACGATCCTGTCTCTCAACCTCTGCTGCAAAGTGTTACCATAGTTGCAATCCTGCGCTAACCGACGCAGCTCAGCCACGTATTCCATTACTAACTCATTGGGCTCACGGTTGCGGGAGTCAAACTTGTACCTTTGCACAATTTCACTAGGCTTTGGGTCAAAGTGATTTTTTAGCAGCTCCACAAGTTGTGTGTAAGTCTTATCCTTGGGCTTATCCGGACTGAGGAGGTTTTTCATAAGGCTGTATGTTGATGATCCCACAACACTTATTAATATGGCTCTTTGTCTGTCTCCATTTTCAATTTCATTAGCCTCAAAAAACTGTTCCAATACCTCACAGTATTCTTCCCACTTCTGATTTTTTGCATCAAAAGGTGCCAGCGTGCCAATCATTGCCATTGTGTGTCAATGAATCCTCTCCTCCACCCGCAGACTTTGCTAATAATTTGAGCTAGCTGCCGCTAACGACCCAAACCTGCATGTAAGGTGCTAACCAGTCCGTTCGGCATGTCCTCTTTGATCCCGTATTGATCCTTGTCTTAATCCTCTTCTTAATCCTCATCGCCAATAATATGTTGTATCTTGTGATCAATAATTGTATGTCCACAACATAGGAGTAGATTTAACTGGTTTTACTCATGGATGTATAATAAGAACTGGATACAGCATGGGAGGCGGGGCCTCATTCATTCCTATGAGAGTTGCTCATTCGCGCATGATGATAAAATGGCCCAACTTTTGAGAGAGTGAAACGTCACAGATTACCCGGCATGCCTGAGAAGTACCCGTATGTGCGCTCATAGCGCATGCGCAACTTTAAACATGCCCCCCAAAATGCTCGTTCACATCAAGCACGTCAATTTGCGTACACGTAACAGCACCGCACGTTCATGACAGCATGGTAATGGTTTGTTATTATGATAGATTTGATATTAACGAGGCGGCAGTTAGCAGCTAGCGGTTAGCTAGTAATTATGCTAATTTACACATCAATCGTTATGTACTTTTATATTACGCTGTAACAGGATCTAGTGATATCCAAGCAACAGAGCTTCATTTAGCATGAAAGAATTATTGCACTGTATATATATATATATATATATATACATACAGTGAAATAAGCTTCTTAGTGCAATAAGAAGCTACAGGGACGTTAATCTACGTCGGTAATATTAACTTTATTTAATACAACATTTACGGTACAAGATTTAATCATACAGCCCATGTAGTATAATATTTTACAAATTATGAATTACAGCAAACATGTGCAATATATCCATTATTACAGCTCCGTGGGCTGGCAGTAAGGCGATATGGGTCCGTTCTTATTGTGCATCCATGGGTAAAGATAAACGCATGTTGTGCTGAACACGTAACATGAACGTGCCGGGCGGCGCGGTCCCGTGGGTTAGATGCGCGTTCATAATGCAGAGGGAAATAACTCTCAGAATAACGTTATTAGCACATTTTTACAACTTGAGGAACGAATGTTTTTAATAAGGGCTATACAAGTGTTCATACTGGGTAGTTTATTTAGTTTAAAAAAAAATATCCAACGATTTACAGACCACTCTTTCCCCATGTAAGTCAATGGGAAAAAGTGTTTCTGGGCCTGGCAACCAAAAGGAAGTGTAGTACCGCCGTTTGGCCAGCATGAATATTTTCATCTGAGTCCGGTGCACTTCCTGGGGGCTTGGTTTTACTTTGGTAACATGCTTCCGGGACTTCCTCGTGGGAACATGTACAACAGGCTCTTTTTAATACCAAGAGTGAGTTTGCCCCCTGCTGGACAAATGCAATAACATGTAATAATAACACAAGGTAAGATACCACATCCAGAATGTGGCTTTTCTTTTAAAATCATATTGTGACATTCTTACTGAAGAGACTTGCAATTATTTGCTCTAGACTTCTGCTTTCAGACGTAGTTAATTATGAAGTTATATTAATTAATGATATAGTCTTAAAGTTACAACCGGCCCTTTGAGTGCAACCATAATGCTGATGTGGCCCGTGATGAAATTGAGTTTGACACCCCTGCTTTAGACCCTTTATCAGCACGTGCTGCAGGTAGTACATCCTGAAGTAAAAGTACAAACACCACACTGTGAAAATACTCCATTATTATAATTATTACGGAAGAGCAAACCTACCAAATTAAATATATTTATAAAAATACATACATTGAATAATATGCTATTTAATTTACTGATTTAAATATTACCCATGCATGTAGGCACTAGTTGATTAAATGTGACATACATTGATACTTTAGTTTTAATGTGCTTCTTTATTCACCTTTTCTTTTTAAATGTGTAAAAGGAAATCAAAACAAATACTTTGGATTAATTCAAATTGCGCGAGAATAATTCATAAAGAAATCAATGAATAAATATGTTCAATAATAAATTAAACACATCTAAAATGTTACTTGATAAAGAATAGGGGAACTCGTACAAATGTCATTAAGTCATTCAAACGTTAATATAAATTAATGTAAAATCTCAATCAATCAATTATTGCCAACATGTATATTCTGTGTGTATATATATATATACACAGAATATATATATTTTGAGAGAGATATACACTAGTATTAGACGCAGTCAAAAGTTTGGACACATCTTGTCATTCGAAGATTTTTATTTATTTAAATTGGTTCTACTTTGTAGATTTATACTGAAGACGTCAAAACTATAAAAGAACACATGGAATGATCTAGTAAACAAAAATGATTTATATTTTGCTGGCTACTGCAGAATGCTGTGGTAGCCATGCTGGTTAAGGGTGCCTTGAATTCTGAATAAATCACCAACAGTGACACCAGCAAAGCCCCCCCCCCCACCACCATCTCACCTCCTCCTCCATGCTTCACAGTGGGAACCACTCATGAAGAAACCATCCGCTCACCTTCTCTGCGTCTCACAAAGACACGGAGGTTGGAACCAAAAATCTCAAATTTGGACTCATCAGACCAAAGTAATAATAAATTAATAATACATTTAATTTATATAGCGCTTCTCATCTGCCAAGACAAATCTCTAAGCAAATTCGAAGTACAGATTTCCACTGGTCTAATGTCCAGTCCTTGTGTTTCTTGGCCCACACAATTCTCTTCTTCTTGTTGTTCGTCCTCAGTAGTGGATCTTTGCAGCAATTTCAAAGTTACTTTAAAAGCGTCAGAACAGTGGTTTCTGAACTGCATTATGCTGCGTTCACAACGGACGCGATGCGAATATTCTCATCGCTCTAACCGCTGGAGTTTCACCGCGGCTGTCAGCTGTGTTTACTCCTGTCATTCAAACAGGACGCGCTGGAGAGGGGGCGGGGCTTATATCCATGTAAATACTGTGGTGGAAACCAACTACGACAAAATTAACCTATTTGACCGTGATTTAATTGTAATACACGTTTCAAAATGATGCCGAAGTAACTACATACTGACAACGGTTAGTAAAAACCATGCTTTGACAAGTGTGCAGACAAGACGGCAGGCGAAAAACTTTTAAATGCGTGTTCTCTGAATGGAGCGATCTCCATTCGATCAGATCAGAAACTAACATGTATCTGCTCCGTCCAAACTCACAACAACGTCCTAAAGACAGAATTAAAGCAGCGACTGTATTCACCATGACACAGACAGTCTGTGGTTTGTACATGTTTAACTTCTGTCTAGTTTCTGAACAGATATGAGGAGCAGTGAGGAGTTGATTAAAGACACACACACACACACACACACACACTTTTGCATTTCAAAGTATTGCTTGTTCATACAGTTGAATGTTTGAGCTTCACTGTGCCCTGCTGAATGATGAATGTGCAGAGTTGGACCCTTGAAGGCTGTTTCTTCTGCTCTGAAATGGAATATATTTGTTACATATTAATAGAATTTTAGATTTTTTGATTTGATTTTGGATTTGTGAATGGGAGAAGTAGTAGATGGAAAAAATACCAAACACTAATTATTCATTTCATTTTATATACGGTAATGCTAAGGAGGCATATGATGATATAATGTTTGACATTATTGATATTAAAAAAGTGATTTGTTTTCCATGTCATTCATGTGTTTTTCTTATCAGAAAGTGAAGTTATTTATTTGTAAGCTCCAAATCCAAATGTTTCCCTCAATGGCCTTTGTGCCCTGAAAAAATGTGTGACACCAAAGGCCAAATGGCCTTGCCCCTAAAATGACGAAAATCCAAGCCTGATCCTCAGTAGTGGATCTTTGCAGCAATTGGACCATGAAGGCCTGATTCACGCAGTCTCCTCTGAACAGTGGATGTTAAGATTGTCTGCTCCTTGAGCTCTGTGATCATCTATGTGAGCTCTAATCTGAGGTGCTTTAATTTGCGGTTTCTGAGGCTGGTAACTCTGATGTATTTATCCTCTGAGCAGAGGTAACTCTTGCTCTTCCTTTCCCGGGGGGGTCCTCATGAGAGCCAGTCTCATCATAGCATTCGATGGTTTTTGCGACTGCACTTGAGGATACATTCAAAGTTCTTGGCATTTTCCGGATCGACTGGCCTTCATTTCTTAAAGTGATGATGGACGGTCGCTTCTCTTTACTGGGTTGAGTGGTTCTTGCTATAATATGGATTACAACAGCAGTCAAATAGGGCTTTCCACTGTGCACTAACTCTACCTCTGCTCAACACAACTGATGGTCTCAAACACATTAAGAAGGCAAGTCATTCCACACATTGACTCTTGACAAGGCACACGTGTTCATTGAAAACCATTCCAGGTGACGACCTCATGAAGCTGACTGAGAGAAGCCAAGAGTGTGCAAAGCTGTCATCAAGGCAAAAGGGGGCTACTTTGAAGAATCTAAAATAAAAATCATATTCTTGATTTTTAACACTTTTTTGTTCACTAGATAATTCCATATGTGTTCTTTCATAGTTTTGATGTCTTCAGTATTAATCTATAAAGTAGAAACACATTTAAATAAAAAACATTGAATGAGAAGGTGTCCAAACTTTTGACTGGTACTGTATATAAAAAACACACATCTTAATATTGAGCAGGTTCCCTCATCTATAATCATTTATACAAGCGCAACTTTGAACATGTACAGCAGTAAAATGCAACATACACAATAATCAAGAAACAACATAAATGAAACACTGACAGGGAACATTTTACTGCACCGTCATTACTTTTACATAAGAAGGTGCCGTCAAATGTTCTGTTAATACTTGCATACTTTTACTTAAATAAGGTTTGAATGCAGGATTTAAATTTGTAACAGAGTATTGTAATTCTATACTGTAGGCGTAGTGTATCTGTGAACGATCCCAAATACAATTCCTTGTTTACATTGCAGCTAGTGCTACGCCAGAAGAAAAAACCCTTTTTCATTTTGAACTGGAAGTGGAAAGGGGCTGGGCTACATGAGGTGACTTGAGCCAACACAAATACACAATAGGTGGGACTAAGAAAGATAATGTGAAAATATAAAAACAAAGGCATTAATTAGGGCTGCAAAATGTCTGCCATTGTAATGGTGATGAGATTTTTAAATGCTAAGTCTTAACAGTTTGTTCTGACTGTGTGTTTCCTGTTTCCTGCAGA